GTACATGTATGTCCATCTCTTTTAAAATACCTAATTAACTTATGTAAAACTTATTAACCCCTTGGACTTACATTAAGTGAAGATGGAAAATGGCATGAACATCTCAATTATATTACATAATATAACATACGTAATGAATCGAGAGTGAAACCTGTTTTCAAATAACCTGAATGACAGGCCATTTTCACGTGCATGTAATGCGAACAAGGTGAATCTGTATTTTGATAGTCTTTCTCAATTTAATTAGACACAGCAAATACGTACCGACACGTGTAGGTGTTCATTCTTCATTTTCCATTAAACAAAATTAAAATTTAAGATTGAATAATGGCGAATGCAAATATTATGAGGCATTTATTAAAAGCAGAGTTGTGGCAGGCAGTAGCAATGGTGGAGCAGGGGGGTCAACATCGTGAGGTTGGTGAGGTGTTGAGTGTGAACCATACGTTTATCACCCGAGCCTGGGCTAGGTTCCAACAGCACGGTACACCTTTAAGACGACATTGTGGTGGCAGAACAATTGTGACTACTGAGACTGAGGATCGTTTTCTGGTATTCCAGGCACGAAGATACCGTTTTGCAACTGCAACCCAACTTCGTTCTGACCTTCAAAATGCTTCAGGGGTGCATGTGTCAACATAAACTATACTAACAAGTTTGCATGATCTGCGATCGAGAAGACCATGTATACCGATCCAGATCCTCAACACCTAGGTAAGGTTGTGTGCTGGTGCAATTGGTAATGGGTTCATTTTGATGGCTGATAATGCCCGCCCCCATAACAGCCAATGTCGTCCAAGACACAAAAATGGTGAAATTTTGAATTTAGAAACATCCACAGATGTGTGCATACGGCGTAATTAAGGAACCTTCAATGTGACACAGTAGTGTTATTCCATGATGAGCGGCGTATGGTCTCCAAGTAAAAGAATGCGTGTGCTTTAGACGAGAAAACAATGGGCAGAACTAAATAAAATGGAATTTTGACAGTATATCTGAGGTTATCAAGCCTTCATATCACAAACACAACGTCAAAAGACAAATTTAAAAAACAGGCAACATAATTATGCAAAGGATGATTATACAGTTTTCAGGTAGGAATACTGGAACCACCAAAGTTGAAAAAGGCCAAATAGAAGAAACTAAAAATACCATATAAAAGTTTACACAACAATGATGTCGTGCTGAACGATCTTCAAGGATCGAAAATATAACATCATTAATTAAATGTACGGGGAGACATTTAACAGCCGCCACACGGCACAAATAACACGGATGTGACAATAAAATAGAGGATAACAGAATCCCTAAAGAAAGTCCAACACGGCAAAATTGTAAAATGTTGCAGGCTCGGTTTGACTGAGTCTGTTCATGGACGGTACTCGAAAGTGCAAGTTATCGTCTACCATCAGGTAGGATACCGGAACCACCCAAGTTGATAACACCAAATAGAAGAAACTAGAAATACAATATAAAATGTTCACACAACAATAATGTCGTGCTGAACGATCTTCAAGGATCGAAAATATAACATCATTGAATCATTGGTTAAATGTATGGGAAGACTATTTACAACCGCCACACGGCACAAATAACATGGATGTGACAAAGAAATAGAAACAGAATCCTTAAAGAAAGCCCAAAATGGCAAAATTGTAAAATGTTGCAGGCTCGGTTTGATTGAGTCTGTTCATGGACGGTACAGGTAAGTGCAGGTACCGTCAACGCTTTTAGCACCGGTTTAAGCAGAATTCAAAATTTAAACACAAAAATGGTGAAATTTTGGAATTTAGAAACATCCGCAAATGTGTTCATACGGCGGTAATCATGAAACCTTCAATGTGACACAGTAGTGTCATTCCATGATGAGCGCCGTATGATCCCCTAATAAAAGAATGTGTGAGCCGTAAACGAGAACACAATGGGCGGAACTAAATAAAATGGAATTTTGACAGTATATCACAGACTAGACGTTAAAAGACAAATTTAAAAAGCAGGCAACATATGCTTAGGGTGATTATACAGTATTCAGGTAGGAATACTGGAACCACCCAAGTTAAAAAAGGCCAAAAAGAAGAAACTAAAAATACCATATAAAGTGTTTACACAACAATAATGTCGTGCTGAACGATCTTCAAGGATCGGAAATATAACATAAATATAAGCATATGCATGCATGAACGTTTAAAGCATGAATTCATGACTAAATGCAAATTTCGTGAATCTCGTGCTGAATACACTATAATGTTTGCACCAATAGAGTTTATATAACGAAAATTACGTATAGGATATCGACCGAGTACGAGGTCTTTCTGTTTAGGAAAGACCTGGTCACGAATTTCATGTGACACCGAGAGCGCGTAGCGCTCGAGATGTTTCATGAAATTCGTGACCAGGTCTTTCCTAAACAGAAAGATCGATGTACGAGGCCGATATCCAACTTACACACCGTTGAGCAGCATTTGGTGTGATGCACATAGATTACTTTTAACACAGCGCATATACAAGTAAGCTTTTATTAACGTTCTGTTTCAATATATAATTTGCATTTAACTCTGCTTTTCCCTTTAAAATAATAATCAAAAAAGCTAAGTGTGTAATTTGTCAATAATAAAGTCAATGGGTCTGTAATAGAAGGTATGTAAAAGAATGAATAATTATGTTGATAGTATTTCGTATCAGACATTGTTGTTTCCAGGACATTTGCTGCCGGACAGTTGCCCCCTCGGACGTTTGCTTCCTGTTTTTTTGCTATGGCGACTTGTCATATGTCAGAGGGCATCTCTTGTATAAATTTTAAGTATGTAATTTAACAATGGAAACGTTCTATTTCATTTATTTATGGATATTATTTTGTTTTCACAAATTTGCGCGAAAGTTTGTGTATTGAAGCACAACGGAATTTCGACAATAGGAGATGAAGTTTGGTAACAATTTAACAATGGTATATTTCAACTTTTTTTAAACGGGGGGGGGGGGCAAATGAACCCCCTTCCAATGATATGAAGGGGGCAAATGTCCACCACAGCAAACTTCCGAGGGGGCAATTGTCCGGATACCCAGGAGACTACGAAAGACTTGCATATGAATATTGTTGGCAAGTTTGAGATACATGATCAGATATTATATTTCATATAGCAGATTATAAATTGTTATCGAATAAAACATGATCGTTCAGCATTAAAATTTTATAATAAATCAACTATAACTTTATTAACATTTCTTTTAATCAAGAATTGTTTTAATAAAACATTTTTACCGTTTCTATCGGGATTGAAATTATAATGGGAGATATGCCCATTGTAGACCAATCCACTTTAAGTACTTGTATATGCATGTCACTATATATCAAGTTTTGGAGTATATTTATATGAAATTCTTTTAACGTTGTTGTGTAGCATTCTTTGAGACTAAGTCCTTGCTTCGACGGTTTTCATGGCATATCTGTTTCGATTTTTCGCCGGTTGTTTAGAACGGCAATGCTGCAAACTCAAATAGAGGGGGAGATTAACGGGGATTTAACATCCCGCGGTTGGGACTTCGCTATTACATGTAACAGTGGGTAGCTGCGGTTTCCAATGCAAAGCATATTCAAATGGACGTTATTTTAATCATAATTAACAATTTTCGAGAACGTTTAAGATGTTATGGATTAGGTGATTTAAAATCGTAATAAGTATTCTGTGATAACTGTATAGTTTTATAGATTAAATGAATTTGAAGCGTCCATTTTTGTTACATTGTGAACTTAATGACAGAAGATCCGCTTACATTAATATTACTTTGAAAAACTTTGATACCCTGTCCATAATGTTATTCAAATATTTGATATAGGGATGTTGGAATAATTGCTAAGTGCATTTATTAAACATCCAGATTTTGTAAGTCTTAGACAGGAATGTTATGACAATCATATACATTTTATTTTCATTTTCTATTGCATATCATGTTGTCTTTGCCTGCGCATAGGCAGGTCTATTTTTTCACGTGTTTTTCATGACCGGGTCTGTCTGACTAGAGCAGACCTGTGCACGTGCAAAAGATAGACCTCATAACGGACTTTCTTTTGTTTAACAGGTCTATCCGAAAAATATAGACCTGTCACAAACAATAGAGGAGGTGTGTAAGTGCTGAAAATGTCCCACTTCAGTGTATGCAGCTGTGGTGTTTATATCACGAAAATTGCGTGCTGAGTTAAGTTTATCTTTATCATTTGCATCGTTGGTAAGCAAATATATTGGTACGCTGAATAGTAAAGAAAACAACTCACTTATTTCAAATAATTCGTGATTGATTTGTATTACTGTTTTATAACAGTATATGCTTATTGTGAAGCTTTAATTATTTCTTTTTATCTTATATTTTTGCCTTAGTTGCAGCCTTTCTTTCTATTTTTGTATATATTCATACTCTGTATTGTTTTTTAAGACATGATTCTTTTCTCTGTAGTTTCTAACGGTTATAGTGAGTTTAACAGTCTGCCTATAACCCGACCAGACGACAGTCCGATTTTTTCAGTTTCTCTACTTATATGATTTGTAAGCGAACAGTATAGTTCCTGATCAGCCTGCGCGGAAGCGCAGGCTGGTCTAGATCCATGCTGGTCGCAAACGCACTATTTAGGTTTTGTCATGGCGCGGCTCAAATGGTGTTGTTGCTGATTGTATTCCACCATATTTTAGTCTTGACTGAGTTCTTTCCCTTAGACTTAAAATGTAGTCATAACGACATAATTTTCAAAATGAATCAAGAAGTCTTGACCTTATCTCCACAACTTTAGAATATCAGCTTCAGAGCTTTTGAAAGGAAAATACTCAAAACATTTACGCCCTTTTCTGCAATCAGGAAGATTAATTCCATTAAATGCAATAAAGTCCGGGTTTAATTTTTATCAAGAGCCCAATTTTCCCTTTTATAAACGAGGGGCCCCCGTGAATCAAAAACAGACTCTTTTCTTTTAAAAAATTTTTAAAAGGTTTAAAACATTGTGTAAAAAAATGTTAACCAATTGTTTTACGAATTATTCGCTTAGCAAGTCCGACAAATCTTTTATAATAGCCTCCCATCCAGGGGGATAGTTGGACAATAAATTTCCATTTTATTTTAGCATTGGATGCATAGTTTTGAACGTCTTCAGAGATCAAAACAGTTTTCAAAACATTCTCTAAGGCTTTGTTTGCCACTTTGAAATGCAATGCATTATCGCTTATCACTATTTCCGGCTTTCCTCTTTGAGCAATAATACTACAAAATGCCAATAAAAATTCTTCAGTTGTCATATCTTCAACCATTTCTACATGAACGGCTCTAGTCAAACAAATGAATAAACATATCCAAACCTTTCTAGGGTCCTTTTCAGTTTTTATGAACAATGGACCAAGGTAATCAAGACCAGTTCTATAGAATGGTGTTGATTCCGATACTCTTAAATTTGGTGAAGGTGGCATATTGGGCATTTTATAAGGCCCTCCTTCATCACGTCGACACGTGTAACATCTTTTAAGAACTGACTATAACTGTTGCACGACCTCGAACAAGCTAAAGGTTGCTACGTAATTTACTTAATATTTGAGACACACCACTATGCAAAATTTCAGCATATGTTTTCTGTAGGAACAATTTTGTAAAAGTTCCATTCTTAGGTATCTTGCTCCAAATGTGAGGTCTGAGTGTTCGATGCGCCCTTTACATCTGAGAGGTCAAATTTCGTCAATGAATAATTCAAGCTGACGTTGCAAATTATCCCTTCTATGTGTCTTGAATGCATTAAACTTCAAACCACTTGCCCCTCACTGCTGTGGGTTCGAATCCCGAGAGGGACTTTGGATTCTTTCTTGTGAGGAAGCTATCCAGCTAGCTTACGGAAAGTCGGTGGTTCTACTCAGGTTCCCGTTCATGCCTGAAATAACGGAAGGATAACCAATTAGGTCCATGCCACCACATATTATTCTTCTTTAGATTTGCTGTACTTGAACCTCGTGATGCTATATCAGCTGGGTTCTCGTAAGTTATAACGTATCCAATAATGACATCTTCATATTTATCAATTTCACGTACTCTATTCTTGATGAAAACTGGCTGATCTTTCTTTGAATTTATCCACTGCAAAAACACATTGTGGATCGGTCCACAAGGAACTTTTATTGATGTTCAACTCACAAAGCGTAAAAAATGAATTCCAATAAGAACAGACATGATTTCTAATTTTGGTATAGTGAGTTGTTTCACTGGAGCAAGTCTTGCCTTTGAAAAGATAAGCTCGGTTTTGATTTTAGAGCTGGATTTTTGATGAAGATACATTGAACATGAGTATGCCTTTGCAGAAGCATCACAGAAGCATGCAAGTGTATTTTCAATATGTTCTTCATTTTTGATCTAACGTTACACAATGTTGTAACATACAATGACTTATTTCTACCAAGTCATCCCTTATTGAATTCCATTCAGATTATATTTGTCATCTATCTCGTTATCCCAACCTAATCTTTTACTCTATAATTTCTGGATAAAGATCTTTTGTCCTATAACACAATAGGAGAATAAAGACCAAGCGGATCGAAAACTGATGCAATTTTAAGTGCATTGTGTTTTGTTTCTACATGTATTTGTCTGATTCATCATTTGTTATCCATTCTCTCAGATTCATAGATATGTCATCAAATAGTGATTTTGCATCTTTATAAAGTTGCATAGCTTCTGATTTCGAGTTTGTTCATGTAATTAAATTCTCGACATAAACGTCGTTTTTCAGTTTCTGTGCTGTTGCTGTTTCAATACCGTTTGATTCAAGGTGACTTTTGATTGTAGCACCAAGCAAAAACGGTGATGATATGACTGCAAACGGAACTTTACAGAATGTTTCCTTTTTCAAAAATGAGTTTATTCAAATCCTTAACCAGCAAAAAGCGTGTTACATCCCTATCATAAGACTGAAAGCCTATTTGTAAAAACCCTTTCTCTATGTCAGCGACAATAGCTATCTCATGAAATCGAAACTTCATAAGCATTCAACAAAGAAAGTGTAACATAACAGGTCCTCTATACATGTTTTCATTAAAACCTTTGTCGCTTTGTTTTGTTTTGACAGACGCATCATACACAATGCGTAATTTAGTTGTTGATTTAGATGGTGTTACATATGCATGATGGGAAATATAATAGACGAGACCATTTTCTCTAGCTTTGTTATCTACTTTTTCAATTATTCCTTTTTGTTGTTGGTCTTCAATTACATTATAATACAGTTTCATCATTTCTGGTTTTCTTTGCAATTTGGATAGAACAGATTTAAGTCTACCATATGCTAATTCACGATTTATTGGATGAATTGCCTCTTTCATCTCTCCATGGCCAGGCTACTTGGTATCGGCCATCATTAAACGTTAAAGTGTCTTTAAAATGCCTCGTAGTAATTTCATCTTTTTTAATATCAGGATTGTCAGTGATACCAATCGACTTGATATTCCAGAAATCCTTTAAATTTGGTTTAAGGACTATCAACGCTTGTGAAAGTATTTGTATTTGCTGAGATATTTCCTTGAGTAAATATCAACATATTGACTTCTTTTACTTTCTTCATCGGGATCTTTCTTTGTACGTCAACTTAATATCCAAACACATTTTGAACTAAGTAAATATAATCCAGGTTTAATCTCCAGTTTCTGACACAATACTATATCTATGAAGTAGTCATTTCATATTAGCATTTCGATTTCACATGATTCATTTTCATTTGCAATTGTGTCAGCAAGATCAACAGTTTTCAGAATATGATATGCATTTCTCGAAAGCTTTGAATTGTGCCACTGATAACAGGCAATATGTTCACAGTTGATCACCCTTCAACATAAGATTTAAAGAGGATACCATTGTTGACTTTTTTTCTTTTTTTTTTTTATTAGGATGGTCCCCTATGGTACCACTGTTCTTATTATTTCCAGCAAATTGTACAAATAAAAAAAAACTTGTATTCACTATTTTATTGAATTGTGTTTTGTTGTCGCATCTTGACATTAAAATACACATGTCATTGATAAAATAACTCCATGATTTAAATTAGAAACATCTATGGTCAGTCAGCCATGTTTTGAATGGGAGCTTAAACGGAGAGCACTATGGTACCGTTGTATGTTAATTGATGGCCCTTTTTGGATTCAGTATATTTTTTGTAACAGAATATGATGTCACTACAGTTTCAGCAGACGACCTTCACTTGTCGGAACATGAAATTATAAGTTTAACCGTTAAATATGGGGTAAAATAAAGAAGTATTTTAAACACACACCGGCAGCTTTTGATTTTCCTGATCAATGACAGAATTTATTTGAAATGAAAAAAAATCTAACAATTTCTATCCAAATTCTATCCAAATTCACAAAAAGCAGCACTTCCACTTTCACTTTAATGGTGGAAACAGTATTTGGTGGCATTCAATGTGTAAAGAAACAAATTTTCTGATTACATCGGAATGGGCAAGGACGCGGTACCCGCGGGGAGTACCGGTACTATATTTACGGCTGTTGTCACTGTTCGCACAAGTATCAGCTTATCAGATGAAACCATTCCAATTTCTTGTAAAATATCTACTTCTTGTGACGTTTCAGTAGCGTTATTATTATTGCATCGCTCTTTTACCACTTCTCTTGATTAATGTGTACTTGTATTTGAAGCTTATTTGAAATTTAGTTAGACACAAGCTTCTGTGATGACTATTTCTGTCACCACAATTTGCACAAATTTTCCTCGTTTACATTCGATTGATTTATGTCCGAATTTGAGGCAAATGAAACAACTATTTTTCAGCATTCTTTTTCTTTCTTCAATAGATTGGCATTTAGGGCATTCATCACATCAGTGCCCCTTTTTGGAATATCTACATAATGTAGAATAAAATTTACGAACAGTTCTAGTGTCCACAGAACACTTTTTATTTCCATTGTTAGCCATAAGAGCTTCACCGGAAGTTATTTTACTGTTCTCACAATTGAAATCTCTTCTAAGTGTAGGTCTTTTCGGACCGAAACTAGTAGAATGTTCCCTAGGAACAAAACTATTATAGGGTCCTTTAGGGCTAAAACTTTATATTTTATCGCATGCGGGTAACTTTGAACGTTATCACAAACATTTCTTTGCAAAAAACTGTATGGTTTTGACTTATTTTCTACACTACAAGTTTTCTTTTCTGTTCTCTCAAGGACCAAGAAATAATTATTTAATTTATCACGTAATGTTGCTAAAGTCCATTCTTTCTTAGATCCGTTACACATCTCAAGATGTGACAGCATGTTGTCTGGTAGTTTTTCTCTTATCATAGCAATAAACAAATCTTGATTGACATCTTGTCTTAATGCCTCTAAACTACGAAGATGTTTTCCGATTTGATCAACAAAACATCTAAGACTTTGAATATTTATAATGTTATTAGAGTGCAAATCTATGACTTCATGTGCATTTCCATATCTTTTCTGTAATAATTTGATAGCAACAGTTGTCACCAGAAAGGTCCAAACCAGATATTGCATTTTTAGTTTCTCCATATAGTTTGCTTCGTAGATAATTGAACTTTTGAATATCGTAAATGTCTTGGTTACTGTTAACTGATGCATTAATTGTATCCCAAAACTGACACCACTACAACTTATCGCAATTAAATGAATACATGCCTTACATTGGAAATTTAACATTCATTGGTTTTCTGTGGTTATAATTGCAAATTCTGAAAAAAGAGGTGGAGCAATGAAGACGACTATATAATTGAAAATTGCAAGTGTATGGAACATATCTTACGTGCGCTAACATCGGCATAAGATGTATTTTATATTTAGCACGAATGTGCGGTAATCAATTAAACCGAACCTGCAAATTTTCAATTTTGTCGTTTTGTGCGTTTCTGTAGGGATTCCGTTTTCTTTATTTTAAAATTGAAAAGAATACAGTTTGAAAGAATTGAGAACATCTCCAGATAGTTTAGTTAGGCAGTAATGATGTTACTTTAGATAAATAGACATATTGTATCATATCTTATGTATTACTACAATCTTTAATACATATAATATCCTGCAAAAATAAGCAGAATAAAAAAACGGCAGTATTGAAAATGTTGCAGGCTCGGACAGAGTGGTAAATGCATTTTATTGCTGGCTCAGTTTGGCTCAGCCTGTTTATGAACGAGATGATAAATGCAATATATTGTTCAATCACCTATGCATCGTTTTAAGCAGCATATTCAACTTTTTGAATTTGGGGAAAGTTTCCCTGTTTTTTAATATGGAACCTTCAATTCAATGTGACACGTGGGTGCCATTCCAATAAAAGCGGCATGTGGTCCGCAAGTAAAAACGCTGTCACTTAAACGCGAAATAATAGGCGCGACTAAATAAAATGAAAAATTTAAAGTGTATCAAATTGATAATGAACAATTTAATCTAATGTGAACAATCGTGAAAATAAATTCTTA